TCAGCAGTAGCAAAACTGAATCTTGAAACTCAATTATAGGCACAAACATAATGACCTTGGAAAACAAAATGTGACACTCTTCCAGAATAGTCACATACAGACTTTAAAATTGCAGATGACAGGAATCAGTTCTGCTTGGTGCAGCAGGAGAGGCCTCCTAGGGCATTAAACATAAATGGCTAATTCATATGCATAATGGGAATTCAGTTGAATGTTCCTTGAGATAATTCATTTAAGGATTTGCCCTGGGGCTTTTTAATCCTTATGGGTAATTTCCTGAGTTCTCATCCCCCGAGGCCTTTGTTATGCTAAAAGAGTATCCAGGCAGATGGACTGGAACCACTGTCATAGATCAACCCTCGTTGTGCCTAACAATGGGATTTAGGTGACTTCATCCTGCGTTCTTCTCTTTTTTTGAACTTAAAGTATAAATGCAGTGGCCAACACCTTGGTAAGTACCTGAAAACCCTCATGATCTTATCAGTCAGTAACCATAAAATGTGTCTCTTATCTCTGGGAAGTTACCATGATTTTACCGTGTAATGTCTGCTTCATTCTCAGGATATAGTCAGCACCTGAAGCAGTCCCAGTGACACAGTCCTGACTTCACTGAAAATCACTCTACCTTTAACTTAAAGAACATGATAACCTTATTTAACAACTTCCATAAAATAGTAAACTTTATTCTAAACCCATCCTTTAAAGACATTATGGGGGCGCCTGGGTGGCTCAGTCAGTTAAGCGTCAGACTATGGCTCAGGTCATGATCTCATGGGTTCATGGGTTCGAGCCCTGCATTGGGCCCTGTGCTGACAGCCAGCTCAGAGCCTGGAGCCTGTTTCAGATTCTGTATCTCCCTCTCTCTCTGACCCTCCACTGCTCGTTCTCTCTCTCTTAGAAATAAATAAAACATTTAAAAAAAGACATTATATATCAGTTACTTAAACTGCATTTTTTACGTTTTTGCAAAGTACAGAATTGGATTGGGTAGACCCTTCTGAAATGAAAACAACTACTGGAAATGTTTCTGTGCAGTGTTTTACTTTCCTGTAGATTCTCTAAAAATGTTACACTTCAAAGCAAATAAAATGGCTCTTCCAGAGAGAGATAGCACTTTCTAAAGATACATATATAGATTCATTTAGGAGAAGTAGAAGTTGTAGTGAAGAATAAGTAATGTGCTTGTTAAGTGTTATTACTCCAGTTTTTTGATTTATCAATAAACAAGTTTATTCATGATGTTAGGAGAACTTATAAACATGAAGATAACTTCATGGGATTTGGTATGGAAAAATTAATAACTCAGACCCCAAAGTGTTTAAATTGATTGAAAGATTCAAAACTATTAAAGAGATTACTATATGTCAAAAACACTGCCAAGTTATTGACAACCTACGATGTTTGAGAAAATGTTTTCTAGATAGTATCTAGGAGAAAATTGAAAGAGGAGCAGAGTCCCCCATACAGCCAAAAAAGAGCTGCCTGGAGTGGGGGTGGAGACATTGGCAGGAAGGCTGATGTAGTAAAGACAGAAGTGGGTGAGTTCAACAGACAAGCCAGGCAGAAAAGGGACTTGGGCAGCAAAGCCAGCATTTCTCAAACATCCCACTTAGCTCAACAAGCTTGACAGTAAACGTGCTTTGATGCTATGTGTCCTAAAGGGAATGATACAATAACTATTTAACTGTGTGGTTGCACAGACCAAACAAACAAACTTCTTGCACAATACTTGTTGAAATAAAACTTCAGTTTTCATTAAACATTTATCTCACTCCTTTCAGATTAACATCAGAAGCAAGTTTAGGGAATTTGAAGACACTAGGTCTAACAGATAGCCCTCCATTGGTTGTGTGATTTGACACAACTGGATTAGTGTCTAGGCAGTACAGCTTATTCATTCCCTTACTATGAATTTTATGAGAGTTTGCCAAACCCTAAAGTGAACAATATCCAAACACCTGCCAGGTTTTTATCTTTATTAAAAAATGCATGTAATGTATTATATAGTGCAAAACTTCCTAGGCATTCCTTTCTAATTGTCTGTCTCCTAGACATCTCATTTTTCAGGGGGATAAATGTCACTACAAGGTTTATAGACAACCCAGAAATGGAAGTAGTTTGGACAGAGGAAAATAAATATGGGAAGTTGGATGTGGGGTTCAGCCTGGAAAACCCATTCAGAAGACAGTGAAAGATCATGAAGAAACAACAGCTTAGAGAGAACTGAGGGTGGATTATAATGATTAGTGTTTGAGATTGTAGAAGAGACATGTTGCAGGAAAAAAATAGTTAAGAAAATAAGGAACATGAGCTGTTAAGTATTTTCTATCATGACAATGGAATCATTGTGACAAAATGGTTAAAGATGTATGTAAAGATAAGAATGGAAGTACTAAGGAATGGCCTAACTTATTCAGATCTGAGAGACATTATCAAATTCTTTATGACAAAGATTGATGATGAAGCCTGCAATTAGCTGTAGTATATCACTGAATAAATTAGTACATTAACTCATTATCTTACAAAAAGCATGTGATCAAATAATTTGCAGAAAAATCTATTTTTCTTGAACATAAGCTCTAATAGGTTATATTTTTAAAATTGTATTGAAGTTTTGATGTAGAATTTTATTCAATATGGTATAGTGAATTGGGTATGTCAATTTCCTTTCTATGTTACACATGTAGTCATAATTTAAAAAATATAAAAATAATAAAAAGATATTGCCATTCTCCTTAGAGAGACAAATAGATAAAAAATATATAATAGTTGATAGATAGATGATAAATGATAGATAGATAGATGACGATAGGTGATAGATGATAGATAGATAGATAGATAGATAGATATGAGATGTCATGTAAAAACACATAATTGTGTGTTAAAGTTGAATCCACAAGCCAATGGCTCCTGGTCTAGAGGCATATTGTTGGTTGACAGCTCAGCATGTGCATGGGACTCAGCACAAGGGACAAGTCTGTTACCCTACTTGAGACATGAAGCTGTTAATCCACATGGAAAGTAGAAATAGGTGTTGTCATAGCCCAAATCTTCTCCCTATAACAAGGCAGATCTTGAGGTAGTTGAGGGTGGGAGATGGGAAGGGCAAAACTGTATTGGGCTCTCGTTTGAAACAATATCCTTTAACCATTATGAAAAGAGTACAGTTGACAAACTTAAAGAAGTGAGGAAGAGTCAATGCAACATCTAATCATGGGACATGAACAAAATAAATCATCAAACAAACAATGAAATTTTCACTTGAGGTGAGATTACAAGTAAAATTCTGAACCGTATATGAAGACTAACACTGAGAAAGAAACTCTACAATTTCAATAAAAACATTAACTGATGAGAAAGTAAAAACTAAAGCAATTTAAATTTTTTTTAATGTTTTTTATTTATTTCTGAGAGAGAGAGGAGGGACAGCATGAGCAGGGGAGGGTCAGAGAGAGAGGGAGACATAGAATCTGAAACAGGCTCCAGGCTCTGAGCTAGTTGTCAGCACAGAGCCCAACGCTGGGCTTGAACCCATGAACCACAAGATCATGACCTGAGCTGAAATTGGACACTCAACCAACTGATCCAACCAGGCACCCCAAAACTAAAGCAATTTAAAATAAAGTCTGAAGTAGCCATGCTTAAGATCATCAAAATTTGAAGGTGGCATAATAATAATAAAATGAATGAAAAATTATGGGGGGGTAGGTAGATATAAATTGAAAATACAAATATGAAATAGAAAAGAAAATACAGTAATTGAAATAAAATTCAATAGTTGGAATACATTTGAGACCAATAACAAATGAAAACAGAATTAATACATAAGAAGTCATACTGAAGAATTCACCAAAATGCAACAAAAACAAATGAAGGGTTTGAGGATACGAAGCAATCTAACTAGGAAGTTAGATTGAGAAGGTTCAGCAAATTCCAGTTAGATATATTTCAGTAGGGAAGGTTAAAACTTATAATGGCAGAAGATATTCAACATTGAAAAAATACATGACTTTTCAGGTTGAGAATACTGTTATAAGCAAAGTAAGTTGATTGCAAATCCCCACCTGTGTACCTCACATTGCACTGCAGAGAACAGCCTAAAGACCAGAGGAGGTGAGGACAATCTCAACTAAAAGAAATAAAAGATGGTGTGCCAGCAAGACACAGATGCACATGAGGAAGTCAGTGAAGGAGGTTTACTGAAGGATTTGTTTACAGAAGTGTACAGATGGCCAAAGGGGCAAAAGAAGATGAGGAGGCACTCAGGGCTCTATGATAAGAAGGGAGGAGCCAAAAAGAGAATGGCAAGCATAGACAGGCTTCTAACAGGCTTCTACAACAAAAATCTGCAGAGTTCCTCTATGCAACCAGTAATCATTATGAAAAATAGAAAAATAATAGAGAATAAATGATCTTATAAATAATGTCCACAACTGCATAAGGATTATAAATTTTGTTTTTTACAAAAGATGTAAAATCTTTGTGGAAGAAAATTACCAAATGTTTCTGAAAGATATAAAAGCAAATTGGAAGAGAGGAGAAAACCCATGTCTACATTAGAAGACATTGTATAAAAATATCTTACTTTATCTCTGTATGTGAATTAATTGAAATTTTAACAGTATGTAAAGTATGATATTTACCTAAAAAGTGAAAATATCAAGTTCTCCAACTGGAATAGAATTGTCTTAGTTGACCAATTGGTCCTTGTATAGAACTTACTACACCTATTATAACCTCTCTCTATTGTAAGGTTCAATTTTGATATAAATTTGTTTTCCTTTTCCCTCAGTTTTAGTTTTTAATTGGATATTGATGAATACATCTCTTCCTATGTTTCTGCATTTAGGTTTATATCTAAGAATTATGTTCATATCACTTGGATTCATAGTACCTCAATGATTACAACATGGTAGAGTCAGGGATCTGAGCCAGTCTATTTGCAATGCTACAAGGAGCCTGTGCCAAGCTTCTCATCTTGCTTCCCTCATTTACCTGGCATGTTCACCTTCAACAGGTCTGAAATTGAAATCTCTACCTTCTTCCTGATTGGGATCCCAGGGATGGAGCATGCCCACATTTGGGTCTCCATACCCATTTGCCTCATGTACCTCGTTGCCATCCTGGGGAACTGCACCATTCTGTTTTTCATAAAAACAGAACCATCTCTGCATGAACCCATGTACTATTTTCTCTCCATGTTGGCTCTCTCTGACCTAGGACTGTCCCTCTCTTCTCTCCCGACCATGCTAAGGATATTCTTGTTCAACGCTCCAGGAATTTCCCCTGATGCCTGCTTTGCCCAAGAATTTTTCATTCATGGATTCTCAGCTATGGAGTCATCAGTTCTTCTCATCATGTCCTTTGATCGATTTATTGCCATCTGCAACCCTCTGAGATACACCTCCATCCTGACCAGAGCCAGAGTCACCAAAATTGGGCTTGCTTTTGCTTTCAAAAATGTTTTGTTGATCCTCCCTTTCCCTTTCACTCTAAAACATCTAAGATACTGTAAGAAGACCCTCCTTTCCCATTCTTACTGCCTTCATCAGGATATCATGAAGCTGGCCTGCTCTGACAATAAGGTCAATGTTATCTATGGCTTATTTGTGGCTGTCACAGGCATCCTAGATCTAGGATTTATTTTCATGTCCTACATGATGATACTGAAAGCAGTACTGAGCATAGCATCACAGAAACAAAGGCTCAAAGTCCTCAACACCTGCGTTTCCCACATCTGTGCTGTGCTTATCTTCTATGTTCCCATTTTCTCCCTGGCTGTTATCTACCGGTTTGCCAAACACAGCTCCCCAATCATTAGGATCTTCATGGCTGATGTTTTCTTGTTGGTACCTCCATTGATGAACCCCATTGTATACTGTGTGAAGAGCCAACAGATAAGAAATATGGTTTTAGGGAAATTGTGTCAGAAACACAGCTGAAAAGGATGCTTAACCACAATGAAACCTCAATCAGTGAATGACACAGAACAAGCAGAATGAATCAATAAGGAATCATACCATATATTAATCGCTTTACAATATCATCTTTCAACATATTTATTAAGATTGAAGAATCAGCCTTGTAACTTTTTTGGGTAAAGATTTAAGATTAGGGCTCACATATAAATATAAAATGTATTCTAAATTTCCACTTTCACTTAGCTTTCTTTAACTAGCCTCATGAACACAATATATGTTTATCATTTTCATCATACTTAAAGTAATATTCTATATTCTCATTTGAGAATTAACAGTATACATTTATATAACAATTGGATAGTGATCAAAAGTGACAGAAGATTGCCTCTTCATTTAAAATAGTGCTCTCAGGGATACCTGGGTGACTCAGTTGTTTAAGGGTCCAACTCTTTATCCCAGCTCAGGTCATGATCTTGTGGGTTTGGGAGTTCAAACCTCGCATTGGGCTATGCACTAAGAGTGCAGAGCCTGCTTGGGATTCTCTCTCTCTCCTTCTCTCTCTCTCCCTTCCCTTCTCTCTCCCTCTCTGAATAAATAGATACACTTAATAAAATAATAAAATAATGCTCTCCAACTCAGAGTTTTCACTTTTATGAAATATGCCTATCCTCTCAGGAACTAAAATTGAAATGGACAATGATATATCGGCACACATAGAACCAATTAAAAAAAAAACAACAAACACATGCAGAGTTTACAAAAATATAAGAAGAATTTAATTCGTTCACCCATTTCATTTCTTTCAGTATTTCCTTTCAGAGCATTAAAATATCACTGTCTATGTTATGCAGCATAGAAAGTTTCCTGTCTTCCCAGTTTCTGTAGGGGTTCTACCTAATGTCATAACTCTTTATAATGTATATGATTTGTCTCTTTCCTAGGCAGGGATATACACCCTCATTAACACCAATTTCCAGGGGTGCATAAGTGGCTCAGTCAGTTAAGCATCTGACTCTTGATTTCGGCTCAGGTCATGATCTCACAGTCATGAGATGGAGGCCTGATTGGGGTCCACACACAGAGCTGCCTTAGGATTCTCTCTCTGTCCCCTGCCAATGAAAATGCGCTCTCTCTTTCAATCTCTCTCAAAAATAAATAAATATATAAACAAAATAAACAAACAAATAAACAAACAAAACAGGGTGTCTGGGTGGCTCAGTTGGGTAGGCGCTGAACTCTTGATTTTGGCTCAGATGATGACCTCACAGTCATGAGATTAAGCCCTATGTCAAGTTCCACTCAGGACACAGAGCCTGCTTGAGATTCTCTCTCCTTCTCCCTCTGCCCCTTTCTCCCACTATGCTCTCTCTCTAAAAATAAATAAATAAATAAATAAATAAATAAATAAATAAACAAACAAAAATACATTTAAAAGGACTACTTTTCAATAAAGGTAAAAATTATAGCTCTCACAATGGCATAAAATGGACATACATTAATGATCTAATTTAACTCATTTGTAATGAAAGAACCAGGCAAATAATACAACCAGATCAGAGGAGATCCCATATAAACAATATATTTATAGATAGGAATGTTGACATTATTTTGCAAATGAGTACAAATAGTCTTTTCCACTTTGTGGGACACGCCTATCAATGTTCCACCAGACAGAATTTATTTGCAGGCCTACCTACCTGAATTACTTTGTTGCTATTAGTATCTACAACTAACAGACAATAGCTGAAAATAGCTCAAAGGCATTGAAAATACCAAGTCCCCACATACCAGAATCAGATAACCCATCAGAACATGCTATAAAAAATGTAGCTTCCTAATGAAGCACACGTTTTCCTGTTTAGTCTCCCCTATTTTAAAGGAAATATAATTTCAGGGGCACCTGGGTGCCTCAGTCGGTTAAGCATCTGACTTTGGCTCAGGTCAATATCTCACAGTTTGTGAGTTGGAGCCCTGCATCAGGGCTCTGTGCTAACAGCTCAGAGCCTAGAGCCTACTTTGGATAATGTGTGCCCCTCTCTCTCTGCCCTTGACTTGCTCACAGTCTGTCTCTCTCTCTGTCTCTCATAAAGAAATAAACATTAAAAATTAAATTAAATATAATTTCAAAGAAAGATTATTCTTGATCAGGCTTTCATTAGATTTTATCTGATTATTTACCCATATGGAGAAGACTGATAATATACCAGAGGGGCTTTCTTAAGTTTGCAGTCCTAGAACTTTCCATACAGAATCAGATTAGATGTTTAAAAACTGCTATCATATGTTTTATGGAGGATAGGGAGCTATGACCAAGAAATTGTCTTCACCAAATTACTCCTTCAGGTAAGTATACATTTGGACAGTATTTTCTTTACTCAGACTCCCCAAACGTCCCAGGATCCTGTTCTGCCATGAAATTGACCTCCCTTACCAGTTTTATGGGCTATTCCTATAAGCCAAGTAACAGGGTGATTTACTTGAGAGGGCTTTGTCAGCATAGATTTTATACAGTCAAACTTAGTTCCCTAAGTCATGAGACATAGTTGATTAAATGAGCAACTTTTGCAAGTATGACATTCTAGGGAATGTTATTCTTGGTTGCATAACAATTCTCGAAATTATACCTTGGTAAAAAGAGGACAGGATCTTATTGCAAATACACTTTGGCAAATACACATTGTACGAAAAGCAAAGACACTTAGTAAGAGTTCCTAACTCTGAGTGAGAAATGAGAATAACAATGAGAATCAGCTATAACTTCAAAATGTTTCATTTCATTTTACAAAAGCAGAGTCTACTAGATCATGATTGGTTGGAAATAGCTTAAGAGAAAGAGAAAAATCCTCCTTGTATATTCAGAAAATAGAACAGAAGATGAAAACATCAACAATGTTCCAAACAACATAATAGGATGCTACCCATCAGTTCAGCTGGTCCTATGCAATGAACTCTTGTTCTGTTGAATCTTGGGTTAGCAATCTCATGAAGCTATCATCTATTGAATGAAAAGAGTCCTGGAAATCACAACCCAACCCACTAAAAGTTACCTAAGAGTCTATTCTTCGAAGTTTGAAGTACTAAGTGCAGGACTTTTCCACAAGCTCTGGCTGGGTCGTTTTCTATTGAAGATAAAAATCTGGACTTTGCTAACTGTAGAGCTTTCATGAATGCATCAGTGTCTAACAAAAACTATCTATTGTTTTAAGATATTTAAGCTAATGGAAGAGTGATACATTTATCTTAAAATGGTCATTGTTAATTTTACTTACACCGTCCAAATATAAAAAGTCTAGGGGCACCTGGGTGGCTCAGTCAGTTAGGCATCTGACTTCGGCTTAGGTCATAATCTCACGGTTTATGAGTTCAATCCCCGCATCGGGCTCTGTGCTGACAGCTTGGAGCCTGGAGCCTGCTTCAGATTCTGTGTCTCCCTCTCTTTCTACTCCTCCCTCTCTCACATTCTGTCTGAAAGAGACAGAGAAAGTCTTTACAAAGTAAAAAATTTTTAAAAATTAAAATTAAAAAAAAATAAAGTCTAATGAGAGTACATAGTACATATAATGCATCTGACAAGTTCATTTTTACAGTGAAAACGATACTCATATATAACATAATAATCATAGGAAATAATACACATAGTATACCAAGAATACACAAAGACTATTATATGAATAGCAAGTAAAGAGATTCAGTGACTCTAGCGTATGCCTAGAAATCTCTATGTTTATAAAATGCCACAGTGAAGTCTGAGTGCAGTTGAAAACTACCATATTTGAAAAATACTAGATGAATATTAAATGTTCAAAACCTTGTCAGTTTGTAGAAGGAAACACGCATAAGTTTAAGGGGGTAAGGTGTAGTGAAGGAGGCAGACACATAAAGGCATAGTTATCTGACACTGCGAAACTGTTCTACAAGCATTCACGTGAAGCTCTTGATCTTTGATGACAGGAGCTTATTCCGCCAGAGGGGGCAGAGGAGGCCTAAGGGGTGTTCTGCTCAAAGGAATAATTCATATCATTTACAAGGGTTGGGATCACTCCCCTGGGTTCTTGTGGTTTCACCTCCAGGGCTTTTTCTTTTTCTCTGGGTACAGCCTGCTGAGCTGGAACCTCCAATGTTTTCTGGGCCAATAGGAAAACAGCAGGAAGGCAGGACTAGACTATGCAGGTCAGAAGGGACTGTTGTGCCCACACAGCATTGGAATTCTGTTAACTGCATGCCACCTCCGTTTCCTCTTTATTCTGCCATGTGGGTCCTACCACTTACCGGTAAGTTTCCCAATGTTCGTAGCTGACTCTTGCCGTTGTACCAGCTCAAGCAAAAATTTCACACAGTACCTGGCTGGTTGTGGTTGCCAAGTCATTAGGATCAATGCCATTACCCTAACCCTCTACACAAAGTCCAATAATTCTGTAAATGCATGGTGGAAGTCCAGAGTCCTGCTGAATGATAGCAATCAGCCAAGTCTAGGCCAGAATCACCGACCCGGCACAGAGAGAAATTCAAAGGCAGGTACTTGAACCTGGCTGGCTGTGGGGTTTGCTGAATGGTAGTTCTTACCTCACTGGTTAGTATAGGCTGTTTCTGGGTGCAGATATGCAAGACCACTGAGTTTGCAAGGGCATCAGTGAGAAGGCAGTAGGGACCACAAGAGTTACTTGCTGCATTGTCTATCCTAACTCAACATGCTTCTTTATAGGCTTAAATATCTCTTTACGTTTTTTCTCTCTAGATGAACAGAAAGGAACCTTACAATTCTAACAAATAACTGAGTTCACGGATTTTAAGTAATGGTATGAAGGTGGGTTTTGTATAAAATTCATGTTATCACTTAGTTTACACATGTAATTAAATTTATAAATTTAATTTATACATGCTTTGAGGGTATATCTTTTCATTCATTTAGTGTACATCAATATGATATCTGCTTATATGAGATTCTATGAAGCCAGAGGGAGAACAAAGGGCAGCAGGGATATCACAGAGAGCACAAACCCAGATGACAAAAACTTAACCAC